AATCCCCGTTGTTCTGCTGCCCTCCCTCAGGCAGGACAAGGAGGCCTGGATCAAGGTGAAGTACGTGGAGAAGAAGTTCCTGAAGAAGCTGCCGGGCGGGGAGGTGTTGGCCGAGAGCGAGCGCAAACCGCGCCGCTGGTGCGTCAAGAAGTGCCAGCGGCACCACAGCGGCTGCCGGGCGCCGGCGGCGCGCAGGAAATTCCGCCAGGAGCCCGGGAGCGCCGCGGCCGCCGTGCTGGCCTCAGGTGGGGCCACCGGGACCAGGAGCTGGGCCGGGAAGGGCGTCCCTGGGGAAAGGGAAATGGAGCCGGGCAGGAAATGGGTGGGAGGGATGGCATGGGTGTCACTTTATCTAGATATATCTAATATACATAGATTTTTTAATATATACATTCATATACGTTTAAATATGTATTAATATATATCCATATTTATATATTTAATCTATATTTATATATATAAAATATACTTTCTAGAATATATATTCATATATATTCATATTTATATAGTTCATATATATTTATATATATAATATACTTTTTTAATATCTGTATATCTAATATACTTTCTAATATATAAATATCTAATATACATATATATCTATATATGTAATATACTTTTTAATATTTGTATAACTAATATACGTGTATATTTATATATATGTAATATACATTTTAATACATGTCTATATACATATATATCTAATGTACTTTTTAATATATCTAATATACATATATATTTCTAATGTACTTTTTAATATATGTCTAATATACGTATCTATTATATAGATATATATGTATATCTATTATAAAGATATATATGTATATAGATATATATGTATCTAATATACTTTTTATTATATATATATCTAATATATGTATATATTTATATACGTATATAATATACTTTTAAATATATATATCTGATATACATATATATTTTTATTACATATCTAATATACTTAGGAAGGTTTTGACTGCCCTGGGATGACTTTGGTCAGGAATTTGAGATATTTTGGGATCTCAGGAAGGTTCTGGCTGCTCTGGGATGACTCTGGCCAGGATTTTGTGCCATTTTGGGATCTCAGGAAGGTTTTGCCTGCCCTGGGATGACTTTGGTCAGAAACTTGAGATATTTTGGGCAGTGTGCCCGCAGCCCCGGCTCTGGCTGTGCAGGCCCCGCTGGGCAATCCCCTCCTTTGCTGGCCATTAATTCCAAATTTCCCGTGTGAAGCAGCAGCCACGCTGGAGAGGAAATTCTGCCGGGATTCTCTGTTTTGCCCCGATGAGCTGGACTCCCTCTTCTCCTACTTCGACACCGGCGCCGGCTCCGGCCCTCGCAGTAAGTGCTTTAAAATAGATTTCGGGGGTTTTTTTTTGCTGTTGTTGTTTTTTTTTTTTTTGGGGGGGTTTTTTTTTTTTTTTTTTTTTTTTTTTTGTTTTTTTTTTTTTATAAGATTTTGGTTGACCTCTGCAAGAGAGGAAATNGGATTTTTTTTTTGTTTTTTGGTTTTATTGAGATTTTTATCTTTAATAAGATTTTGGTTGACCTCTGCAAGAGAGGAAATGGCTAGGAAGGGTTCTGGCTGCTTTGGGATGACTTTGGTTAAAAATCTGTGAGATTTTGGATTCTTAGGAAGGTTCCGGCTGCGCTGGGATGACTTTGGTCGCAAATTTCTGATATTTTGGGTTCTTGGGAAGGTTCTGGCTGCTCTGGGATGACTTTGGTCACAAATTTCTGATATTTTGGGTTCTTGGGAAGGTTCTGGCTGCTCTGGGATGACTTTGGTCACAAATTTCTGATATTTTGGGTTCTTAGGAGGGTTGGACTCGATGGTCTTGAAGGTCTCTTCCAACCTGGGGATCCTGTGCATCCTCTGATTCTGGGATTCTGTGGATTCTGGGATCCTGTGGATCCTGTGATTCCAGTGATCCCATTGCTCCTGTATATCCCATGATCCTGTGGATCCCATGGACCCTGTGATCCTGTGGATTCCATGGATCCCGTGGATCCTGTGATCCTGTGGATCCAGTGGCTCCCGTGATACTGTAGATCCCATGGACCCTGTGATCCTGTGGAGCCCATTGATCCTGTGGATCCTGTGATCCCATGGATCCCGTGATCCTGTGGCTCCTGTGATTCCATGCATCCTGTGGCTCCTGTGATCCCGTGGCTCCTGTAGATCCTGTGATCCCATGGATCTGGTGGACCCTGTGATCCCTTGGCTCTGGTGATCCCGTGGCTCTGGTGATCCCGTGGCTCCGGTGATCCCGTGGCTCTGGTGATCCCTTGGCTCTGGTGATCCTGTGGCTCCCGTGATCCCGTGGCTCCGGTGATCCCGTGGCTCTGGTGATCCCGTGGCTCCGGTGATCCCGTGGCTCCCGTGATCCCGTGGCTCCGGTGATCCCGTGGCTCCCAGCCCTGGAGCAGAGGCGCCGGGCAGGGCTGGCGCAGGGTCGGTGCTCAGGTGGCCGTGGTTTGTGTCCTGTTGGCCCCGCAGGTCTGAGCAGCGACAGCGGCCTGGGCGGCAGCACCGACGGCAGCTCCGACGTGCTCGGCTTCGGCGCCGTGGTGGACAGCGTCACCGAGGAGGGTCAGTGACACTGGGCAGGGGGTGACAGCGTCACCGAGGAGGGTCAGTGACACCGGGCAGGGGGTGACAGCGTCACCGAGGAGGGTCAGTGACACCGGGCAGGGGGTGACTGTCACCAAGGAGGGTCAGTGACACCGGGCAGGGGGTGACAGTGTCACCAAGGAGGGTCAGTGACACCGGGCAGGGGGTGACAGAGTCACCAAGGAGGGTCAGTGACACCGGGCAGGGGGTGACAGTGTCACCGAGGAGGGTCAGTGACACCGGGCAGGGGGTGACAGTGTCACCGAGGAGGGTCAGTGACACCGGGCAGGGGGTGACACGTGCATGGGTTGACAGCGTCACTGAGGAGGGTGGGTGTCACTGACACTAGACAGGGGGTGGCACCGGGGAAGGTGGGTGGCACACAGTGAGACGCTTTCGGCTGATCCCTCCTCTCCCTTTCCCTCGCCTTCTTCCTTCCTTTCCCCATTTCCCCTTCCTCTCCCTTTTTTTACTCCTTTTTTTTCCTTCCTTCTCCCAACTCTTTCCCCATTTTTCTTGCCCCCTTTTTCTTGCCACATTGTCTTGCCCCTTTCCTTCCCCCCTTTTCCCCCCACCTTCCCCATTTTTCCCCTCTCCCACACAGAGTGCGAGGTGTCGGAGGACTCGAGTGGAGAGGCCGAGCTGGAGCCGGAGGCGTCGGATGCGGAGGAGGTGCGGGAGCCGGCGCTGGCGCTGTGCCGGGCGGCGCGGCGCCGGGCGCTGCCGGCGCTGGCCGCGGCGCTGGCCCACGGCGCCGACGTCAACTGGGCCAACGAGGAGGACGAGGGCAAAACGCCCCTGATCCAGGCCGTCAGCGGGGTGAGGGATGGGAATTCCCATTGGGAACTGGGGCTGGGAATTCCCCTTGGGAATGGTCCGGACTGGGAGAAATGGGCTGGGAATTCTCTTTGGGAATCGGGTCAGGGTGAAATGGTGTGGGATGTGAGAATTCTCTTTGGGAATGATCTGGGTGAATTGATGTGGAATTTCATTAGGGAATTGGGTCTGGGTGAAGTGGTCTGGGAATTCCCTTGGGGAATGGTCTGGTCTGGGTGAAATGGTGTGGGAATTCCCTTTGGGAATTGTCTGGTCTGTCTGATCTGAAATTCTCTTCTTGGAGCACAGGAATTGTCCAATCTGGCTGAATTCTTGTGAAAACTCTGGGAATTGCCCAATCTGGCTGAACTGACCAAAAATTCCCATTTTTTCCCCCGTTCCCAGGGCTCCTTGCTGGCCTGTGAGTTCCTGCTGCAGAATGGGGCTGACGTGAACCAGCGGGACGCGCGGGGCCGGGCGCCGCTGCACCATGCCACCTCCCTGGGCCACACCGGGTGAGCGCCGCGGCGTTCCCGCTGCTCCCGAGCGGAATTCCCACCTGGAAAACACAGACACTCCCCAGATAGGCAGCATCCAGCTGCAAAATCCGGATTTTGGAGTGTGATAAAAGCTCAGGCGGAGTGAGGCGGGAGATTGGCGTGGAAGCTTTTCCTTGGCAGGCTGGGTTGGAATTCCCAGGGAATTTGTGTTTGGAATGGAATTCCCAGGGAATCTGTGGCTGGGGAGGGGCTGGTTTGGAATTCCCAGGGGAATTTGAGATTGGGATGAAATTCTCAGAGAATTCGTGATTGGGATGGAATTCCTGGGGGATTTTTGACTGAGATGGAATTCCCAGAGAATTTGTGGCTGGGATGGAATTCCCAGGGAATTTGTGGCTGTCCCATCCCTGGAAGTGTCCCAAGGGCAGTTTGGAGCACCCTGGGATAAGGATGATGAGCTGGAATTTGGTACCTCTGGAATTCCTTCCCTGAGGCTTCCTGTTCCCCAGGCAGGGGTGCCTGTTCCTGAAACAGGAATTCAGGAATTCCATTATCCTTTTCCAGGCAGGTGTGCCTGTTCCTGACACACAGGGCTGGAATTCCTCTAGAATTCCCCAGGAATTCCATGATTCCTTTCCCTTTTCCAGGCAGGTGTGCCTGTTCCTGAAGCGTGGGGCCACTCCGGACACGCCGGACGGCGACGGGCAGGACCCGCTGAGCATCGCCGTGAGCGCCGCCAACGCCGACATCGTCACCCTGTGAGCGACGGGCCTGAGGCACACCGGGAATGCTGGGGACACTGGGAATGACTGGGAACACTGGGAGAGGCTGGGGAGTACTGGGAATGGCCAGGGAACACTGGGAACCACTGGGGAACACCAGGAGAGGCTGGGAAACACCGGGAAGGGCTGGGGAACACTGCCTTAGGACTGGGAAATACTGGGAACACTGGGAAACACTGCCTGGGAACACAGAAACTGGGAAATCCTGGGAACACTGGGAAACACTGCCTGGAACAGGGAAATACTGGGAAACACTGCCTGGGAACAGGGAAACAGTGGGAAATGCTGGGAACACTGGGAATCCCTGCCTGGGAACTGGAAATGCTTGGAAGTACTGGGAACACTGGGAAACGCTGCCTGGGGACTGGGAAACACTGGGAAGTACTGGGAACACCAGGAAACACTTCCATGGGGAACAGGAATGACCAAGCCCTGTCCCGCAGGCTGCGTCTGGCGCGGATGAACGAGGAGATGCGCGAGGCCGAGGGGCCCCTGGGGCAGCCCGGGCAGTTCCCGGGCAGCAGCCCCACGGAGCTGCAGTACAGGAAATGCATCCAGGAGTTCATCAGCCTCAACATCGACGAGACCTAGGGACAAACCTGGACAAAGCCACGGATATTTGGGATATTCTGTGTTTTCCCTGCTGGTTGCGATGCCCGCGCCCCCCTGGCAGGCGTCGCTTCTGCGGGAGTTTTGATTTTTTTTGTTGTTTTCCTGTGGGGTTTTGGGGGTTGAGTTCTCATGTTTGACTACTGGATGGTTGAATTTGGGGTTTTTTGGGGGGGTTTTTTTTTGGAGGAGGAGGAGATTCCCAGGGTGCGACTGCACGTTGTGGCACGTGGGGTGGAGTGTGGGAGGTGAGCTTAGAGGTTAAAAAAACAACCAAAAAAATAAGGAAAAAAAAACTCAAAAAGAGAAGAAAAGGAAAAACCTTCTGTGGCCAGGAGAGAGCCACCAACGTCAGGAGCGGACTGAGGCGCTGGCCTGGGATTCCAGCAGGGATCGTGGCTGGAGCCTGCTCTGCCCCAGGAGGACTCCGAGGTGCCCCCCAGGCTGGTTTTGGGGCAGGGATGCTCCAGAGGCCCGGCGGGATCGGGATTGGGATCAGGATCGGGATCTCCGGCGGCTCCTGGCCTTTTGCTGCTCTTAGGACCGAACCAGCCATGCTGCCCCGACTGCTGCCTGGCTGCTCAAAGCCATCGTTGTTTCCGTCCTGCTGGAATGCCCGGAAGGATTCCCATCCCACAGCATTCCTGCAAGGATTCCCACCCTGCTGGATTTCTGCAAGGATTCCCATCCCACTGGAATTCCTAAAAGGATTCCCATCCCACTGGAATTCCTGAAAGGATTCCCGTGCCACAGGATTCCTAAAAGGATTCCCATCCCACTGGAATTCCTGAAAGGATTCCCACCCTACTGGAATTCCCAGAAGGATTCCCATCCTGCAGCATTCCTGAAGGGATTCCCATCCCACTGTAATTCCTGAAAGGATTTCCATCCCACTGGAATTCCCAGAAGGATTTCCATCCCACTGGAATTCCCAGAAGGATTCCCATCCTGCAGGAATTCCCGGAAGGGTTCCCATCCTGCTGGAATTCCTGGAAGCAGCAGCGCTGATCCCTGTCGCTGGCGATGGGCTCGGGGCAGGGAGGGAAACCAGCTCCAGCTGCTTGGTGCAATTATCCCAGAATCCCAGAACCCAATTATCCCATTATCCCAGAATCCCATTATCCTAGAATCCAATTATCCTAGATCCCATTATCCCAAATTCCCATTATCCCAGAATCCCATTATCCCAGATCCCAACCTGCTCCCAAATCCACCCTAAATCCCAGGCCTGCAATCCCGGCACAGTTAGGATGGGTTTGGAGCTGATCCCAAATCCCAAACCCAGCCTAAATCCCAGGCTTGCAATCCTGGCTCAGCTAGGACGGGTTGGGAGCTGATCCTGCCCCTAAGCCCAGCCTAAATCCCTGTGTCCCCCCAGCAGGACCCCCCAGCTCCCTGTGGTGCCCCCAGCCCAGCCCCTGGAGCTTTCCAGGACCCCAAATCCCGCCCTGATCCCAGCCTGGATCTGGGATTTGGGGCAGCCCTGCAGGGAATTCCCTCTCCAGCCCCGTCCCACCCTGCCCGCCCCTCCACGCGGGGATTTCTCGGTGCTGAGTCTTGTCAGGGGCCTTCAAAGCTCTTGGAGCAAAGGAGAATTTTCACTTGTGGGAGAGAAAGAGAATTTTCACATTTCAGAAAGGGAATTTACACATCGGAGAGAGAGAGAATTTCTACATTTGAGAGTGGAGGAGAATTTTCACATTTGAGAGCAAAGGAGAATTTCGACATTTGAGAGAGAAATTTCACATTTGAGCGAAAGAGAATTTCTGCATTTAGGAGAGAGAATTTCTTCACATTTGAGAGAGAATTTCTTCACATTTGAGAGCAAAGGAAAATTTTCACCATTTGAGAGAGAAGGACAATTTTCACATTTCAGAGAGAATTTCTTCACATTTGACAGAGAAGAATTTCTTCAGTCTTGAGAGAGGAGTAGACTTTTCCCATTTGAGAGAGAATTTTCCCATTCGAGAGAGAATTTTCACATTTGAGAGAGAATTTCTTCACATTTGAGAGAGAAAGATAATTTTCACCATTTGAGAGCAAAGGAGAATTTTCACATTTGAGAGAGAATTTTTTCGCATTTGACAGCAAAGGAAAATTTCTTCACTCTTGAGAGCAAAGCACATTTGAGAGAGAAGGAGAATTTTCACATTTGAGAGAGAAGGAGAATTTCTTCACTCTCGAGAGAGAAGGAGAACTTTCACCATTTTCCACCATTTTCCAGTTTTCCCCAGGAGAATTTCCCACTCAGCACGGCCATGATTTGACTTTTTAACCAACTTCAAACTGATTTTCAAGCCCCTCATTGCTTTTACCACCTTTTTTAGGAGTTAAAAACCTGACTGATCCTTCTGAGAACCGAGCAAAACCGCGACTTCCGCTTTTTGGGTCGTTTTATTTCACTTTTTTTCCGGGAATTCTGGCCAGAAATCCTGGCCAGGCTGCACCCTGGAAGCTCAGACTCACTGCTGAAGTTGGGGAAAAAAATGTAAATATCGATGCAAAAAGAATCATCTTGCCAGACAATGGATTTATTTAAGATGTATTGGTACTTTTAAATATTTAGAGTCAATGTATAAAAAGCAACTTGGTGCACTTTTCCTACCTGACAGTATTTTGGGGGGGGTTTAATGTTTTTTTGTTAAGGGTTTTGTGCTGTCTTTTTTAATCCGTGGAATTGTTAAGTATTTAATTTATTCTTATTATTGATGTGCCCAGAGGACTGTGCAATTTTTATTCCATGCAGTTGGTCTGTATTTAATGTCAGGATTTTTTCCCCCCCTTTGTAGAGTTTTTAGGGAATATTTTTCCAAAAATTGCCTTTTTTTTGTTCCCTTTTCTTCCCCTCCTTTTTCCCTTTTGTGTTCATGTCACAGCTCCTGAGGCATCCAAAGCCTCAAATTTGAGATCAATGCCCTGAATCCCCAAACCAAACATTTCTCCAGGAAAAACAAAAGTGAAGGATGCACTTCTCCCTATTTCCTGTGTTTCTTGGACTTTTTATTGCTCCTTGGGGGGGGTTCCTGGGTGGGTGTGGGCGCCAAATTCTGGAGGGGGGAGCGGGGAAAATGCACAGAAAATTCAATTTCTGTTCTCAAAATGCACTTCCAGGCTCTGAGGGAGGTGAAAGAAAATATGAATATTTTATTTTTCCTGCCTGCAGCACAGCTGGGTTTGTGTTGTACCATCCTGGTTGGAATTTTTGCCCTAAATTGGATTTTTTTTCTGTTTTTTTTTTCCCCCATTCTCCTTTTTATTTTTCCCATTCATTTTGTTTTTCCAGAGTGTTTTCTCTGGGATTGAACCACCTTTAACAGGAGGAATTTAAAAGCAAAATCACTTCAGCCACCAGGATCCTCCATCCTTGGAATTTTTTGGGATCTGGGGGAATTTTTATTTGACCCAAGTGCCTGGACTTGGATCCAGTCTGGGTTTGGATTTCCGGGCTCTGATTCCAGCTGGAATTTTCAATATTCCGGGGTTATTTCAGGTTATTCCAGCCTTGCTGCATCGGAGCTGGGAAATTTCTTGGATATTTAAAAGAAAAAAAAAAAAATGGGAGTGGAAGTTTTGATGCCTTTAAGAAAAAAATCTGTGAGAAGCTGCGCTGTGCCGGGCATCAAATGGAAAATTAATTGGAAAATACCTCTGATATCATCAAATTAATTCATTAATCATCATTAATTAATTGTCTTGCAGCTCCCAGGAGAGAACTTGGAGGGAGGATTTTGGGATTGAGAGATCAGGAACAGCAGAAATATCAGGAAAATACCAAATTCAGGATCGGGAACAGCAAAAAATCAGAAAAAATCCAGGATTGGTGCAAGGAAAGCCCAGGAGCTGCTCAAGGAATGCTCGGAATTCCTGCCTGGGGGGAAAAGGGAATTTCTGTGTTCCTCAGGAATTCCTGATTGGAGAATTGGAGGTTTTTAGCAATTCCTGAATGGAGTTTTTGACTTCCTCACCAATTCCTGGTTTGAATTTTTGAGTTTCTCACCCACTCTTAATTTGAGTTTGGAGTTTTTTAGCAATTCCTGGTTTGAGTTTTGGAGGTTTTTACCAAATCCTGGTTTGAGTTTTGGAGTTCCTCTTTTTGTGATATGTTTTGTGATATGTTTTGGAGGTTTTTACCAAATCCTGGTTTGAATTCTGGAGTTTTTTAGCAATTCTTGGTTGGAGTTTTGGAGGTTTTTAGCAATTCCTGGTTTGAGTTTTTGAATTCCTCACCAGTTCCTGGTTCTTCACCAATTCCTGGTTTAAGTTTAGCAATTCCTGGATGGGGACAAAGATGGTGGCGCCCACTGTGTCACGTGACATGGGACAAAAAGATGGCAGCGCCCACTATCACGTGATGTGGGACAAATATGGCAGCGCTCACTATGTCACGTGACACGGGACAAAGATGACTGCTACCACTGTGTCACGTGATATGATGCGAAGATCGCGGCGCCCATTGCATCACGTGATGCTGGACAAATATGGCGGCGTTCATTGTGTCACGTGACGTGGGATAAAGATGGCGGGGTGTCCACTATGTCGCGTGACATGGGACAAAGATGGCGGACCCCATGCGTCACGTGACGGGGCAAAGATGGCGCCTTTCGGGACAGGGTCGATTTGGGCTGGTTTTGGCGGTTCTTTTGTGGGCCCGCCGCACGCGCTGCGTGGCGGTGCTGCTGTCACGGTGCAGCCGCACCGGAGGACGCCGCGGGGGATTGATTTTGAAACGTGGGATTGCCGTCGGAATTTCGATCAGGCGTCTGGCTGGACGACTACAGCTTGGGGTCTTTTCTGAGGCGCGAGGGGCGGGGTAGGCGCAGCGACGCGGTGACGTCACGCAGGGGGCGGGCCGGAGGGCTGTGGGGGGCAGTGCGCGGGTTTCACCGGCAGGGAGCGCTGCGAGCTCGCGGGAGGCGAGGCGGGGTCGGGGTGTGCCTGCAGCGCGCGGTTTCACCGGCAGGGGGCGGTGTGCGAGGGGCGCTCGGTGGTGGCGGAGCGCCCGTTTGGAAATGTGGATGAAAAATTAAATTTTATAAGACTTTATAATTTTATCAACTTTATAATTTTAATAAAGATTTTATTTCTAGCGATGTGGACGTATGTTGGGATTTATTCTTTTTAATGGATATGCATACCTCTGAGAACTCTTGATCTTTTTTTATTACTTTTGCTAATTTCTATATGTGTAGAATTTTATAATAGGTTAATGTATATTTATTTTGCTGATTTCACATTATATTTATAGTTATTTATATTTGTATTTAGTTGTTGTTAGAAAGTACAGTAAGAACTTTTGGGTTACTCTGCTTTGTTTGTTTTAAGGTTTGAGGAGTTTTTAAAATCTTTTCTCTTTTAGTATGGAAATTTGTATTTTTTTTTTTTAGTTTTGCTAGGCCTGCAGTCACTAGACTAAACAGTATATTTAGCAAACTTAAAGTGGTACATTTCACTTAAATCTAAATGGATTTTTATTTTGTTAAATATTTACTCTGTCTCATTTTATACAATTATATCCTTGTGATGTGATTAACTGTTGGTTGTATCATTATTTGCCTGGTGGGGTTGATGGGAGCAGCGGTGCCGTGGTTGCTGCATATTGCAGCTGGATTGCAATGGGTATATATGAAAAGAAAAAAGGCTTCCTTGGTTCTTGCGGCGTTGGAAATTTTCGGGTTCTTGGGGATTAATTATTTTTATTTAATTATTATTTTTTTTTAATTATTTTTTTAAGTTTTTTTTTTTTACTCCCACAGAGCCTGAAAGTTTTTTGAAAGTTTTTTAAATCAAGAAAGGAAAACAAACTTAGAAATAAAGATAGAAATAGAGATAAAAAAAGGTTAAAAAAAGTTGCAGTTAGAAAGAGAGAGAAAAAAATAAATAGGAAAAGATAGAGAGTGAAACATGAGAAGGGTTAGAATGAAAAAGAAAGAGTTAGAGTGACAGTGAAAAAGAGGGGGGGAAAAAGAGTTAAAGCTGGAGAGAAAAATAAATAAAGAGTAAAGTATAAACGAAAGTACAAACTATAGAGAGAAAAATAGTTAGAACTAGAGAAACAGAAAAAAAGAAATATGGGGAAATAGAGAAGCAGAGAGACAGAGTTAGAAACAGTGAGAAATAGAAACACACAGGGACGGACAGAAATGAAGTTAGAGATAGAAAAGTAAGATGAGAAGCAAAGGAAGAAATACAGTGAAAGAAAAATGACTAAACCACACCAAAGAAAGACAGGAGCCAAAAGTGGAGGGGGAGGGAGCAGGGGGCATCATTATTAGGGTTGATTCGACTTTATTGAATGAATTTTTAAATTTACTTCAGCAAAACACTTTGGAAACAATGGATACAACTACAAGTACAGATACAATCCATAGACACACTGGTAAAAGTCCAACTTGGATACAGAGCAAGACATGGAAATGCAGCAGCAAATGCAAATACAGGGCAATAGAAACCAAACACGTATTAACACAATATAACCTTTTTTCTATTTTAATTACATTTTGTTTTATGGTTAGAGGAAACCCAAAACAATTCCTGTGTTCCCATGACACCCAGGAAAAGGGAGAAGGCAAACCCCATCAGGTATAAAAGCCCTCGGAGCAGCTGCAGCTGTTTGGCTCCTCTGCTTTGAATTCCAGGGGAATAAAGGGATTGGAATAGAAGAAAATTCTCCAGGGAAATGACAGCGATCGTGTCCACAAGCCAGGGGCCGCCTCCTGAAATTCTGGATTTCAGGACGTGCCCCTGCCCCAGGCTGCTCCCATCTCAACCTTGGGTTGCCTTGACAATCCCAAGCACAACTTGCAAAATGACATCAGGAACCTGGGCTGGAGAGTTTTCTTTCCCACGGAAAATTGGCATTTTTTGTGCTCAGGGGACTGTGGCCCTGAGGGGGCAGCCGCCTGCAAAAAATCCAAACGGCGAAGGATGTGCCCCACCTCAAACTACTGCTGCCCTGATAGTCCCAAGGTGTGAAAAACGCCAATTACTTGGGTTTTAAAATTTTAAAAGTTTAGTAATAATAAAATTGCTATAGTTAGAATAATAAAATTTAGAGTTAGGACAATTACAAGACAATAAAAAGCAAAGAATTGCGGACGCCCGGCAGCGTCTGACCCCAGTGCTCGAGGGCTGTGTGGAGATTCCTCCCTGGAGTGGGGTCACCCCTGGAGGATGAGCCACAAAGATTTGATCATTGGACGGGTGAGTAACTATTTCTACTTAGTAATTGTTTTTGCTGGCTTTGATGCCCTGGCTGCAGTGTTCTTCAGACGTTGTGCCCTGCTCCAGCAGTTACAGCTCCTGTGCCGGGCAGGGAACACTTCTGGGGAAGGACTTTCAGTTTCATTAGTTTGCATTAAATCAATCAAGCCATATCTAAGTACTGGTGGCCAAAGGTTTTACCACTTCCCTCTGAATCATCCGGCACTGGCTGGAGGTTTGTGTGAGCTGGTGGACTCTTCTACCCATCATTATTTCCCCAACAGAATTCAGCTAAGTAGGAGAGGTACATATGATGCTGCAATTCTGTGACATGAAGAAACAGCCTGCTACTGGAGAGTCCCAGACCTTTGCGTCCTCAGCCTCTGCAGGTCTGGCACATGGAAAGCCCAGAGGCACTGAAGTATCCCACTCAAGCAACCAAATGTTAACGATCTCTCCAAAGCCTAATTTGCCTTTGATATAGACTTAATTGTTTGCGACACCTACCGGGCTGGGGGAGGGCTATAAAATGGCCTACAACCATTGTCTGAGGCAGAAGAGAGCCCAGGAGCAGCTCCCTCTCCCAGTGTTCCTCACTCAGCACAAGTGACGGCCTGAGCATCATGCAGCTGGTGGCCAGCCTGGTGTCCGTGCTGCTGCTGGTGTGGAGCGCGAGAGCCATGGCGCTGCCCGGGGAGGAGGGACTGCAGAGCACCAGGGTGAGTGCAACATCCCTGGGCAGGAGCAGGTTAGAGCTAAGGAAAGGGACGTCAGGACAAGCAGGCTGTACCTGATGCAGCTCTTCCCCTCCTCTATATTCCAAGGCATTACAATTTGACGTGCTGCGAAGCCCCGGGCTGTTACTACAGCTTGCTGGCCAGCTGATTTAGGAAAGGCATCGGGGCAGATGCCAGAGAGATGGAATAAGTGAAGTCTGAGCTAAGTGAAAACTGGCAAAAAGGAGATTGGAGGGAAAGGGAGAAAACATTACTGAAAGGGTAGAGTGTGAGAGAATAAAGCAAAGTACTAGGGAGGGTGAGAAAAGATACATAATTGGTAAAATGATCACAGAGATTATATTTTAAATAGGACTTGTCGGAAGGACAAATGTTGAGTAGGAAAGTAACAGAGGAACCATAAATGAAGTCATTACATCAAAATAAAATTGCGTTTTCTGGAGTAGTATTCACAAGAAGAGTTATACTGACATAGTCCTGCTAGGAGAATTCTGCTCTGAACCAGCGTAGCTCAATGCAGTGGCAGAACTTACGGCAATATAATTATCGTAGCAACTGGCAAAACCCTAATATTATAATGGCCAGAGCACTGTAATAACTTTGCTTTCAGTGCTGTTTCCCTAAGAGGGCAGAGGGAATCCAAGCACAGCCTCATCACAAGCCCTGTTTTGCTTGCCCTTGCCCTGCCATCACTGCTGTGCCTCTGATCTCTGGTTAGTCACCCCACATAAGGCTGCTGTTATTCCAGAGAAGGGAGGGATCCCTGTGGTGGTTTCACAGGCACTAACTTCTTCTTTCTGCATATCCACGTTGTTTTTTCGGTCTTGGTGTTGGCTCCAGCTCACCCATCAGTGTGTTGGTACTTCAGGAGCAGGCTCACATCCCATTAACAAAACTGGCTGCAAGACAGACCCGTACACAGTTTGAGGTGCTGGCATTCTGTTAGAGATCAGGGCTCCTGCAGCTGCCTGGGATTAACCCTTCTGGGCATAACTGGAAACTTTCAGCTCTACATCCTTACAATAAAGAATCCAGTACTTGAAAAGTAAACTCATTTTTCTTAAAAAATAAGTTCCCTGTGCAAATCCTAGCTTCTGGAAAAAAAACAAAAACAAAAAACAACAAGTTATAGAGGATAGTGTGGATTTTTTCTGTTACTTGGTTTCTTTTGTGTGGTAGCAGATGTAATTACTAGAGCCTAAAAACTGATTAAAAATATCCATAAACCTTCTGTAAGGTAAACTCAAGACAATTGCTCTGCCTGTATTTATCCATCTTTTGAGTTGCTTATGAAGTGGTCCTTAGCAAATGCTGGTGCTGCCAAATTGAGCAGATACAGAAGTACATGTAGGCATTTGTGAGGGGTGACGTGGAAACTTGCTTCCAAGATTCCCATCTGCATAGGAAATGGATGGTTTGACAGGAACAGATCCTGTCTCAGCTCAACCAGTACCAGCTGTCTCTAATAATGAGTCATAGAGACCAGGAATGCTCAGGCAAGAGGTAATTTCTCAGATTTGTTGGATGGAAAATTAAGGGAAACACGGTAACTCATAGCTTGTACCGGTGGAATTCCCTCAAGCTCCAGACTGCAGGCTCTGTTCTGCTGTGTGATGATGCAGCAATGGGATGGAGCTCAAGGGGATGGAGCTCAAAAGCTTTTTCCATCCCACCTTCACCCAAGGTCAGGCTATGGAATTACATCAGCTGCCTGTCTCCACTGATGCAATATTTTGTTTCAGATATTTGGAGTATCCCTCTCCCCATCAACTCAGCCCTCTCCTTGTTGCATTTTTCTCAGCATTTTACTGTGGGGTACAGCCCCCTTTGAGCTTAATTTACTATTGCATAGAGAATTGTGCCTCCTCCCTGGCCTTCCCAAGGCAGAGGCCAGGCAGTCAGGGCAGCAAAGAGGCAGCTTGGCATACACTGTAATTTAATTAGTGCCTCGGCGAGGACCTTCTCAGCAATTCAAACTTATTTGTTAGCAGCTCTTTTCCAGCTCTAACATGGCACATGAAGATCCAGCTGGCTGAGCTGGATGGGGATGGGAGACAGCAGTGGCCTCTGCAGCCACAGATCCCTGAGCTCCAGCGTGCCTCTGCCATCTCTTGCCTTTGGGATGCAAAGGAATGAGAAGGGAGCCCATGGGGGATTGTTTGCATGCTCTCAATCTCACCAACCACGGGGGACAAGCCTTCCACGCCTCACTGTGCTCACTCTCTGCCCACAGGAGCAGAGTACAGTGCGCAAGGACGTCGTCCTGAAGATGCTGGCAGGCCTGCTGGGCAGCGTGGATGCCGGGGCCGAGGCGGCCATCCCGGCCGTGCAGGAGAAGGCCAAGCTGGAGGAGGAGCAGGCGGCGCTCGCCCAGCTCTCACAGCGGGACCGCAAGGCGCCCTGCAAGAACTTCTTCTGGAAAACCTTCACCTCCTGCTAGTGCCAGCCAGCCTGGCCCTGCCAGCCCGCAAACACCTTCCCCAGAGCTCATCTTCCTGCCCACCCAGCTCCTTGTCTGTGCCCTGCACCCCTCAGAATAAAGCATAGCGCCTCGGGGACATGTCTGTGCCTCTCTGTGGGGCAGCCACGGTGGGGGGACAGGATGCACACGTTTTCTGTGTAAATGAGCAGCCGTGGGGGGCCATGGCCATTTTGGGAAAGGGCTTTGCAGCTGTGAGGGGAGCCGTGCAGAGGAGGCACAGCTGTCTCTGAAGCTGCTGCAGCTGCCTCCTCAGCCTTTGAGGGACTAGAGGGGTGTGCAGTGAGGGGCTGTGCCTCATGGAGAGGATCCTCAGTGCCAGGCCCCGCTCAGGATAAGGTGCCGTGCCTCAATGGGGAGAGGATGGTTTGATTCCAGACATGGGCAAGAGCAGCTCCCCGTGCTCCTTTCCATGCCAGCTTAATGAAGCACTCAGGTAGTGCTGTGCAGATGTGGGGTGCAGGGGCAGCATCTGGGGAGAGAGACATGCCCAGAGCTTGACCCACTTATGATTTGCCAGCAGGTAATTCCAGAGAGGTTCCTGGGGTGCTTTTGGGTTTGCATCCAAAACTAAAATAATTATATAATTTGGCTGTAATACTGGGTTCAACTGCTGTGGCTCTGCTCTGGTTCACTCATGGTTTCTTGGTGTTTTCTCAACTTGCCTAAACAAACCCAAAATCAAACCACCTGGCTTTTCTTACACACCCTCTTGGGTGCCATTTGCTGCCTGGAGAGTAGCAGGGTATGTAGCTTTATTTCTTTGGGATTATTGAAGAGATTTTTAACCCTTTATTTTTAGAACTAGCAGGTAGCACAAAAATATGGACAATAGATGTGTTTGAGTTCACAGGTATTTCCTTCTCAAGAAGACTGCTGAGTTCTTGGTGTCTCATACTGGCAAAACAAAAAGGTATGAAATTCAGTTGCTCTATTTGCTTCAAGTTCAGCTAGGAAGTTGAATTTCAGATCTGTATTACATGGCTGCGAATGGCCATATATCACTGAGCCTGTCCCCAGACCTGATGAGAACTGAAGGCAGCTATTTTTAATGGCTTCGTTTTGAGCCTTTACATTTTGCTTTTGCTGTCAGTGACCAGGAGGTCACTCCTCTCAACAGCAGCATTTTGGGTTAATCAGCAAGCTGGCTGGTTTTGTGGCAGTTGAGGTAGCTCTTTCCACTGTCCAGCTCTCAGAGTAATGAGTGGCACCATGGCTCTGGCACCTCGATGGGCTGCCAGCTGCTTTGCTCTGTGTTGCGCTGCATTTTCGGTGTGTCATTTGCCATAGAGATTTCTGGTTTGCAGGGGGACTTAGAGCCCTATTTTATTTTTGACTCCCTAATGAAAAGTAAGATAATTGCTGGGGGTACTCAGTGACTCAATATATGGGTAACAGGATATGGAGCTTCCTTGCTGTGTTACCTGAAGCACTCAGCCAGGATGCAGGGGGCCTGGGTTTGTGCCTAACACTGCTGCTGGCATTTGCATTTCATCATTACCTCATTTTCACTGTCTTTAAAATGGGATGAAAGCTCTTGCCACCCACCTTTCTTAAGAAAAATTATAAAAAAGACATGTGCTGTATAACAGCTAATTATGGCCATTATTATTAATGGCCTCTGTAACAGGACCAACCAGGATGCAAACACCTTAGAAGTGTTCTCATAGGAATTGCCTTATTATCCACCATTACATCTTGTCTGTGATCATAATGCTCAAGAAATTGTGTAGTGAAAACAAGAAACTCCCGAGTATGTGGGTGTAGGGATTGCCCCAGACAAAGCCTGTCTGTTCAGCGGGTTGTGAGCTCCTGCAGGAGGGAGGAATCTGACTGCTCTCAAGGCTGGAAGTAAATTTGGAAGCTGAGCTGCTCTTCCATCCCCACAGATGGCTCCTGTGACCACAGGCTGAGCACTGGCTGAGCACCAAGGGGAAGGCTGAGTTGCCAGTGCAGCTGCTGTGGACAGGGGCCAGCAGCATGGGGACAGCTGCTTTCATCAGCTCTGAAATCAGTGTTTGAGTTGGACCCGATTGTGCAGTTTCCTTGGTAAGTCACTGTGCTGAGACTGAAGCGATGTGAGGTCCTGCCATTTAGTGAATGCGGCAGGATAAATCAGATCCAATGTGAGCGACTTATTTTCTATTTGAATTTTCACAAAAGAATTGTGAGACTTATAATGGCATATGACAAGTTAGAAGGGAGTGAGAGCCTGCTATTTCTTTTTTAGATGCAGTAGCCGATGCACTTTAGAGTCTTGTCTCAGCTCAGAATAATGTGTCTGTGTAAGAGCAAGAGCAAATACCCATAAGTTATCTCTGGGTTTTTTAAAAAGTGAAAAATATTAAAAAGCAAAAAGTATGCTGGAAGGCAAACTTTTGAAGTCATCTAGCACACACAGTGCTGACCTCACCTAATCTGATATGTGGTCCAATGGTGGTATTCACTTCATTTTTTTCATTTTAAAGTGTTTTTAACCTCAAGCTAGTTTATCACACTGCAGACAAGTGAAGAAAATATCATGGGGATTAGTTCAGCTGTGAATCCACAGCATATTGATACACAGGGGTAACCTGTGGGTGCATATCCTGTCCCTTGAGCAAGGTGTAGTAGTCCAAGATAGCTTCTGAGAATAGAATAAATCTCATTTACTCTGAGATTAAAGTCTGTCCATACGTGGACAGATATGACGGAGGAACTAGGGAGGCATTAATTTGAAATTTAGTACCCTCCATGGTGACTTGTCTGCACATGCTTTTATAGTGAAGGTCTCATTTGAATATACTGTGTGTGCTTTCAGCTTCAGACAAAGGAGAGAGTTGCAATCTGACAAGACTTACAAAGATCCTGTCTGTCTGCAGGTCTCCACCAATGGAATTAAATTTAGTGGGAACACAACTGTGCTGGTGCTCCTGTGCCTGTTGTTCTCAAACGATATGTGGCCCGTGAGGCACCTTTGGCATCAATTACAGCTACAGAAAATTGAGGTTAAACCTGGTATTGCAGGAAGAATGAAGCATAAGGTTGCACTGGCTGTCTTTTGTCTTATGTTGCTATTACACTTGGGTCTGCTCAGAAACACTAAATGCATATTTGAAAAGCAGTGAGTCCAATTACTTAAAAAGAAAATCTGTTTTTAAGGTTGATGGCATATGACCAATTAGATACAAACTGGGAAAAGAGTAACTGGGTTTGCACTAAAGGGGAGTTTTCTCTCCACTCTTGGGTGAATTCTGCTGTTGCTCTTGATCACCAATTAATGTAGTGGCTCACAGAATCTTTTCCTATGGGATGCTTTTGACAACATTCATCTAAGAAGTGGTTTAAATGATGAAAAATTTGACGACGTCCCTGTGACACAGGAGCACTGCTTCTGTTTTTATTTCCTGGCACTTTGGGCTAATTTGCCTTAAGCCTTGGGCTTGGTGGTGGGAGATGCTGATCCAAGAGGCCTTGCTCTGTGTCTTGCTCTAGCAATGACACTACACAAGCCTCTGCCTATGGCTCTGCCATACAGGCTTTTGTTGAGTGAAAGAATATCATAGGTCAAATAAGGTATTTGTTCACTATTTATTACTCTCTGTTCAATGACCATGTTCTCTGAGCTCTGAAAGCCACTCTTACCTGTGAAGTTGGCTTTAAAGATTTAACTTCAGCTACTTCTCTGAGCTCCTATGTTCACAAAACCCTCAGCAGCAGTGGGCTATAAATGGCTTTTCTATTCCATGAAAACTCAGTGAAAGGAGCTGTTACCTGGACCGTTCAGCTTCACATATGATATGTACAACACAAAAATCTTGAGTACAAATGGCTTGGTGGGAGGATGTCTGACACAGTGCATGTTTCCTGTCTTTGCTGAACCCTGATGGAACTCAAAGAGATTTGGGAGAATGTGACAAGGTGAATTTTCAGTGACAAGAAGGATTCCAGGGAACAAGAGGGAGTTGACAGAAAGATGTAGGTTTTGTAGATGACACCGGAATGACAGGAGTGGAATCAGAAGGTGCTCTTTGCTGCATCAATAAGGATTTAAGAGATGTAGCTTTTCCTCATGGATTCATAAGGAATTATGGTTGGAGTTACCACTAAGGCAGTAGATGATAACGTGTGGGTAGGTAAGAATCACTTTTCCAGAGACACAATGCAAACTGAGACCTGTCAGCATAGGGAGAACCTTCATTCTGAAGTTTCTGGCAGAGCATTGCTGCAAAACAGCTACTGTGGGTAAAGTTGCTTTTTATTTCATAACAATCTCCCAGCCTTTAAAGCAGGGAATATCTAGGAATCAGAGGACCTGTGTCATATAAGCTAATGGAGAACAGCTCACTGCTGTTACTCAGCTGCTGCAAGCCCTTTCCAGAAGCCTGGGAATTCAAGCAGAGGCTGTGCTCAGCTCAGGATGCTGAGGAGCAGCTGTACCCCATGCAAAGGGACAGCAGCAATGCCTGTGCTGAGCCTGTGAGCCTTCTTGTAACAGCTATGACTGATCCATGTCTTCCTCTCTGCTAACTCCAGCACCTTTGGAGCTGATGCAGCTCTTACTTTTACAACTGTGTCTCATTTTGCAGCTGAGGGAGGGATGTGCCAGATGAAAAAATGCCAGCATTTCAGTCCTTTCAGATGGAAGCTTTGGAGAGAGCTGTTTGAATCTAGATTCAAACCTTCCAGTGTTCTACTTTCCACTTGTGGAAATTATGTAGGGCTCATAGAAAGTCTCAGAGGAAGCATTTGGAAGGTGAAGGAAATATCAACAATTCAAATGCATGTCTTTCACCTCCCCAGAGAGTGTCTTATTCCTGAGCAGTTGACTGGGATGGATGATGGTTGTTGTCTAGCAGTCCCACAGTGCACAGGGGAATAAGCTGTGACAGAGGAGGGAGAATACTGTTTCTCTAGGCTCAGGGCATTCAGCTGAGAATGAGGAATTTCTATTCTAGCTGTACCGTAGGGACTTGGAGAACTTTTGTTTTTAAGCAATTAATGTTTAGTGTAAAACAAAAAAATAAATTATAAGCAATTTTTACAGCTGAGACCTTGTTGAACTGGGCTTAAGGCCAGGCCTACTTCCTAATGTAAGATCACTAGTTAGGAACGTTCGCTTTAAAAAATGTTTTACTGGGGCTGTGCTTGGCCGGTGTATTTTAGTCTCTTCTTGAAAGAGGGGAAGAAGCCAATGACTTATGATTGCAAAAAGCTTCCCACTCCTGGCTTGTACATTCCAGAAATTATCCAGGAGACATTGATCACTCAGATGATGGCTTTAGAATCCATCACTTTAGACACATGGTACATTTGGTCACTGTTGGTCCTCAGATCCTGTTGCTTTCACTATGACTTTATTTATATATTTAAATAAAAGGAGATTGTTTTGCTAGCACTGAGTGTACTGGTCTGCATTAGTTATTTGACTTAGCATGGGCAGCAGCTTAGTTAATATTGAAAGGGAGAGCATTTATGTGATACTGTTTTATACAGGGTTTTTAACCCTTCCAGTTGGGATAAGGCTCTGTGCAGGAACTCCCTGGTTTGGAGTGAAACTTGTAGGCCAAGACACGTCTCCTTTCTTGAGAGCTCTGCCTTTGTCCTTGGCCATGTGCTGTTAATCTAGTCAGAGTCCAATCAGTCCCATGAGGAGAGGTGGCTTCCTTGCCAGAAGCTGAGGTGCAGGTGCACAGACAGGGAGCTGCAGCTGTCTAAAAAGCTGTGGATTTGCTTTAGGAGCCCAGAGCCATGGGGAGCAAACAGCAGCCTTTGTGCTCTAAAATGTTGGCTTGCAAACAGTGCTCATCTTCATCCGTGAACAGATGAATTTACCCACTGCTGGGAGCCAGCAGGCTGGAAAGTGCCTTATGATCACTCTTCCAAAAGGATAACTGAACCCTGTCCAGTGCTGGAAGGCAGCTTGCCATTCCATGGGAGAGAGGGCTAGAAGAAGAATGGCTGAGAAGAAACAGCACTGGTGACTTTCTGCTCTATTCCAAAATAAAAATGGTTTTTCATTTATATTGCAAACCTGTCTAAATAGTGTGTGACCCAGGGGCTGTGCAAGAAGGTACATACTCCTCTGTGGAGTGAGGGAAGGGAATGTCCTACATCCCTTTAACCATTTGGTCAGAGGCAGGTAATGGGAAATCAGGCCACCCTTGATGGGAAGAAGTTATGCTGTCTGACTCCAGATCAGAAGGCTTTATTAAAAGTATACTATAATACATTAATATACTATTTAAAGAGATACTTTGCTATTCTACACACAGTCCTGTTTCAATGTTTGGCAGCAACTATCAGCCTCAGGGCACTCAGCAAATTCTGGGCTGTGGGAAAATTCAGACCTAAGATCAGAATTGACTCTCCATTCCTCTGCTACTGATCTGAGCAGAAAGCCTGAAGTGGGATGCTTCTGAAGTATTTATGCCTATGTGAATCAGGGAGCAGCTCAGTCAAACATGGATTGATTTTTTTTTCCAAATTTTTCTGTCTCTTCCCTCTTTTCCAGATAGTATAAAGTCCACATCTATCTTGTTGATAGTATCATTTTAGCAGCTAGTAGGCCATGGGAAAAGTCAGTGCCCTCTTGGTTCTTGTCCATTAACTGTGCTTGTAGGTATTGCTGCTACACAAGTATTACTAGTTGTTATGCTAGTACTCTTCCCTTCACTTTTATTAAATGGTGTTTTCTGTTTGCAGTTTGCTGAATGTTTTTTTGGCCTTAGTTTTTTTCATGTAATAACTCCTGCTTTCCTGCCAGCACCAGCTTCACTGCCTGGGGTAATGACTTTTGGCTGTTGAAAAGGTGTCCATTTGATTACAGGGTATCTTAGGATAAATTTTCTGCATGTGGAACCCAACAGTCTGTTCCCTGCAGCAGATCAGTTTTCCAATTCTGTCCATTTTCATCTGAGAAGAGATGGACCTAGACTCAGCTTTAATATAGCTGGGTTTTCACCCTCTATATATTAGGCCTATCTCCAAGTGTGGTGGAGTAGGAGTTTTGTGGGAAACCTAAATGCTGATTTGGAAAAAAGCAGTCTGCATGCAGGAGAATTAATGAAGCTTTATGTCCCATAGTGTTTGTTCTCCCGGTTGAATTTCCTGGGCAGTGTGAAACCCTGTGTGGATCCCAAAAGTTTAAAAGAAATTAGAATTATTTTTTTAAAGTGTGACTTTTTACCTTATGGCTGTTCCAGGATGGGCAGGATAAAAAGCAATCCATGCTTATGAAGAAGGCACGGAGTAGATTTTGGTCACCACAAGCATGCACTGGAATAAAATCTGCAGCTGAGAACTGGAAGACTTTGTATCTCTGAAACTGATGCCTGTGTGTACTGTAGTGTTATGTCCCCTGAGTATTTCTGTCCTGTTACAAAGAACCATACAACCAGACTCATCACTATTCTAAAATCATGTGATGTGCCCCATTATTTTGTTTTCAACACCTCCGTGCTCTGATGATGGAAGCAGCTACTTCCTGTAACATGCTGCTTGCATTAGCAGGAATTGTGGACCAGTTGTTCAGAGGGAAAGAGCATTGCCAGCTCCCCTTGCTCCCCAGGGCAGACACTGTCTGGAGCTACCTCCTCCCCCTGCCTGCCTTCCCACACAGCAGTGATATTATGGCTTCCTCCAAGAGCCTGCAGCCTTCCCAATCCATCCTCTCCATCTCTGCCTGCCACTGACTGAAGCCTGAACACAAGCCTGGCTTTTAGTGGTTGCTGTTCCAAGAACTCAGCAGGCTGAAGGGGGTGGAAGGGCGATAAACATAAGGGTTCAACATCCAGACAAACACAGCAGAGCACACGCAATAAATACATCCGCCCCCAAATGCAAATACACGAGGAGGGATTCCTTCCCCAAGGCTCACAGCAGAACAGGCTCAGACAGGAAGGCATCAGAATGAGGTGAGTGCAGTTACCTCCAGCTCTTCTGTCCACTTGGTTTCGTGCAGGGTCTGGAAGGCGTGAGCATGAGGCTCATCCTGTTTAGCTGTTACTGCAGCGACCCCACTGATACCTCCCAATTTTGCTTTCATTGTAAAGTTAGGAGGGTGTTGGGCATGAAGATTTCAGCTAGCACTGAGTGACCTGATTTGGTATTGATACAGGCAATTAGGATGTGTGGCTTTTGGGGTATGATCCAAGTTAATGCTCACTCTTTCTTAGTTCATTTATTGTCCCTTTGACACAGGCTGTTTATTTTGCTGGCTGTGCTCTATAGTGGAGTAAGGAGCAGCATTGTGCAACAAAAAATGTATGGAAGGATCACATCCCCAAACTTCCCAAAGGTCTACCCAAATCACAAGGAGAAAATATGGAATATTACTGTCCCCAAAGGATATTCTGTTCGCATTTACTTCACCCATTTCAACCTGGAGTTGTCCTACCTGTGTGAATATGATTATGTGAAGGTATGTGTGGGATGGGGTAATGTAGCAGGTGCAAGTTGTTAAAAACCCTGTTTATGTGATCCTGGGCACATGCAGAATCAACGTAACTCTTTGTCAGATCTTGATTTTGGTCTACTTTTAAAGTTCAGGCTCAGCTGGTTTCTAAATTATGTGTTTATTGAGCCCCATGGGACCAGGAAGCAGATGTGGTTGTCACATTGGAGCATCTGAAACATGAAATGCTTTTGCTCAGAAAATTCTGATGCTCTTCTGTTGTGAAGCAAAACTTATGAAATTTTGTCCAAAACAATATTTGAGCATTTTGCTTATGTTACAGTGTTTTAAATTAAAAAGTAATGCTTGACACAGGTTATAATGGAAGACCATAAAATGTAAGTGATACTCTAAACAAGACACTGTCAGTCCATCTGAGCGGGCACTCACAGCAGCAGTTACTGTGGTGCATCTGCTGGCTAATGTGAGAAACAGCCTCAGGAAGAGGAACAAAGATACTGCTTTGGGGAAGTGTTTGGGTGAGCAGCAGTGTCCCTGAAAGATGTATGTGTTCTGGTCCAGGGGTCCTGTCACTGATTTGAGGCTGTGCTACCTCTGCACTCCTTTAGTTCTTTGTGTGGGCCTGATGTACAATAAGGAAGGAGTTGTGTAGGCAGGGAGTTGGCAATCCCAGTTTTGCATCTGATTGAACCAAACCTGGCAGCCTTGTTCCCACTGAGAAAAAACTCATTTCCATGGTTTTATATGGCAAGTTGCTCCCATTCCCCAAAAGTCTGTTGTTCTTCATGTACTATCCCTTGTGTAGGACAGAATATCCATTTCTGGTAGGTGTGTAGTATACAGCTCCCTCTTTACCATGCCCATCATAAACCCCATCTTTTGAAACATTTCTCCTGTGTTAAATGAACAGCTGGAATGCTAATACATGCATCACAGAGCGAGTCACTTGCTTAAGGACACCTTTTTCTATACATTTGAATTTGTCAGTGTGCGAAACCTTCTTACCCCAGTTGTCTCTGGCTTTACCAAGACCAGTGATTGTCCCTGAGAGTGCCAAGTTAACAAGAGTATTATAAACAAAGCATAGCTGGCATCAGACATTTGTGAGGACCACTGAAAGGAGAAAGGGAGACAAAATTATGGTCTTAAGTCACAGAGAACAGAGGAAATCCTCTCTTACCTGGTCTTGGATGTGGACTGAGCTCCAGAAGCACTTTTTGAGAGCATCCAAACTTCCTTCCTCACACTGTTAAACACATGTTTTTCCATCCATGGCAGCAGGTTGGGAAGATCAATGCTCTATGCTCACCTGCTGGATTTGTCCGTCTGTTTTGCAGCTGAGCTCTGGTGGGAAGACCTTGGCTATGCTGTGTGGAAGGGACAGTACAGACACTGAAGAGGCTCCAGGGAACAGAACGTACATCTCCGCTGACAACCACCTCACGGTAGTGTTTCGGTCTGATTACTCCAATGAGAAACCATTCACAGGCTTTGAGGCCTTTTATGCTGCTGAAGGTGAGAGACTGGCCCCTCTTGTAGATGGAAGAGCCATGGCTCTGCTGGGGTTGGTGCTTCCCTGTGCTCTCATAGCCTGAGGCTGCTGGTGTGGGGTGGAAGAAGGTGGTCTAATTGTACAGAAGCAGATTCAGAGGGGCACAGTGACCAAAGACCAACCTCACAAAACACAGAGTGGCTGAGACTGAGAGAACATTTTGTTGTAATCTATTGTCTGCCTGATTCTCTGTTTTGCCCATTAGATATTGATGAGTGCAAACAGCCATTGGATACTAAACCACTCTGCAGTCATCACTGTCACAACTATGTAGGGGGCTACTATTGCAGCTGCAGGGTTGGCTACATACTGCATGAAAACAAGAGGACATGTACAGGTGAGCTCTTTCTAGATGAGGAGATACTTTCCTATCTACAACATCCACTTAAATCCAGTCCTGACAATAATATCAGAGAGAAAGCTGTGGGGTTTCATTTTCATTTTTTTGTACTCCCTGTGTGCCTGGTGCAGCTGGGAGGAGGTTCACAGGGTTAGTCAGGGCTGTGAGCAGAAGTCTTGCTTTGCAGAGGGGCTGCTGTTACAATTTTGGGTCGTAGTAAAATGCTGCACTGGCACTTGGGTTTTTGCAACTCCTTTCCATCTCTGTTCAGCTTTACGTGAGTTGAATGGAAAATCAAGAAATGTCCTGCACTTCCCACCACAGAAAAGCCTTCATGGATGCCAGTGCAGCCAGTCTTGCAAAACTGAGTATATCTTGCTCCATGGGTACTGAGATCCCAAGTATTCTGGATCCAAGTTAATAGATATGTTGGGAAGACTACCAATTGAGTTTTGAAGTCTAATGAAGAAATAATTAGACTGCTGCCCTGTAAGGACACAGGCCAAGAAGGAGCCTGTGGACGAGGAAGATGGTATCACTGACACCAGATACCATAATCCAGGCATTAAATGTCCAGGCATGGATCTCTTGTTGAGAAGGGCTGACAGTGTGAGGTCTACCTTGTTGGCTGCTGCCTGGCTCTGCTCACAATTCATAACTAGGTAAAGCTTCTGTGGGGTCAGGTGTCTGCATGGATCTGCATGGTGATCAGCACCTCAGGATTCCCTTTGCAGTGAAACACATGCCTACATGGGGTACAAAGTTCCCCCTTTATGGGTGCAGCTTTGCCAGCTGGAGCTAAATACTGTCTGGAAAAAATCAACACACATACTGCTCATAAATACTGTCATAGCTGAAAGATAATTTTTGAGCTCCCCCATGCTGAAATGCAAAACTGGATCTAACTTCCAGTGCTTAAGGCTACCTTAGCATTTGCCTTCCCAACAACAGCCTATTACAAACTCTCTCCATCCATGACTGCCCGGGTCTGATTCAAGATTCAAATTCCTCATGTCTCCAGAGTATTGGAACAGACAAGTTCATTCATCCTGCCCTTCCTAAAGTGATGCCTTTTAGCACAAGCGTATGGATTTACTGATGCTGTAAAGCCATAATGTGAAGGAGCAAAATGGAAAGCAAAATGTGAACTAGCAGACGAGTAGCTCTGCATTGACCATTCGTATGTGCACATTTATGCTGCCCTCCTTGAAAAGGGCTCTAGCAGAGGGAGCTTCTCAGCAACAGTGAGGGGCTGAGCTACTTTGATGGTGGAGATGTTGGGAATTGCTGTGATGCAGCTGATGTGCCAAAGGTCTCTGCAGATCTCCTTCATGAGTTGAGGGCAAAAGCTGCCCCTGTGTCTTTTGGGCTCCTGTTTTTGCTGGCTGATATTGACAGGCTCTTTTTCTCCTTTGTTTTCTAGCAGGAGATAATTAAACATCTCCTTGCTTAGGCAGAAATGGAGACAGATGTGCTGGGAAGAGCTGGTTTCCTTTCTTCCTGACCTGCCTGTTGCAGTCTGCCCAAGGGCTGAAGGTTTCTCTAGCTCCATGAATTGTCCATGTGGTTCCTTGCCTTTCAGGCTTGCCTGCTGCAGACAATAAAGAGGCTGTAGCCTGCTGAAAGCCAAATGCAGCCTCTGGGACATTCATTTTTTGACATTCCCACATGTCACCTGGGAAAAAAGAAGGTAGATCAGGCAGGGACTGGTAAAAGACAAGCCATTGTAAAAGCCCCCTGAGCATCACAGCTACCTGAAGAGTCTTGAATTTCTTATCCAGCTCTTGTTGCTTAACCTTACACAGTTCTCAAACTGTAAGAAGAACAGGACTACATCACAACTTTGTTCCCCAATGCTCTTTTTAGATACCGTGTAGAGAAAAGGCATATTCTCCCAGCAGCCCTTGGCAGTAAGTAAAAGATTCACTGCAAAGGTTTGTCTGTTGTGGTCCTGAAGCACCACGCCGTGGTCAGAGTGTGCCAGTGCACATCAGGGTGGTGCTCCTTGTGACACTCAGGGTTAGGCTACTCGACATGAGCGAATCCTGCCCGTTTTAATTTCTCAGGCATTAAACACGGGGGTGCCCGTTCTCGTTACCAATTTCTGTCATTCACTGTAATCAGGTGTGTTCGGTGCATTGGATTTGGCAGCAACTGTCCTTTGCTAGGTTGCCCAAAGAATTGATCCTGTCTGTGCTTGCCTGCCCTTGCTGATGCCCTAGTGCCCTTGCTGCTACTTAGATTTGCTTCTATTTATGTTGGAAGATTTTATAACAGACTCAAAGATCAGTGTGGTGAGAATTTTTAATGTTCTTTCACTATAGATATCTCCAGGGAAGTTCCAACAGTAATACATTCCTGCTGAATGCAGTGTTTCAGACTATTTCTTAGTAACAGAGCTGAGTTTCTCAGCAGGCAGTTTTGGAAGATACTCCAGTCTGTGTTTGCTTAAAGAATTTTAAAATCACAGTTGAGGCGATTGTGGTTTGGGGAGGCTCAGGTTTACCTCGGCAGTTACTTTACAGTCTGTCTGAATTGATGCACATATTCACTAACCCAGAATAACTGATGTGAGAGTTAATGTATTCCACACAAACACTGGGGACCTGGATGTGTATATGGAAATGCAATGCCAAAATTCAATGTCAGTGTGAATGAAGTCCCGTCCTGCCCCAGGAAGGCAAATCATAGTGGTAAGGACTGAGCATGGAATTAAATGTGCTCCTTGGCTCTGGGGCTGAGCAGAAGGAATGCCCCCAGCCTTACCTGGACACAACTGAACTTTGACTTGGGATGTACTTGCATGTTTAAGGCCACATGAGAATGGTGAAAAGTAGCCAGGAAGGCTTAATCCAGTTACAGCTGAGAGCTTTCTTACCATTCTTTCTTACCATTACCCCATCAATCAATGGATTTAATCTTCTGCATTGTATTAAACAACACCCAACTGTTCCATTTATGGTGCTCATTTGTGTTCTCTGGGTGAAGATTCATGTGTGGTGATGGATACTAGAAAAATTCCAGCCTGTGCCTTGTACCAAGCCTACAGTGACATGTTTGTGCAGGCAGGGGGACAGTTACCCAGCTTGCCTAATCTGCTGTTTTGCAATGGAGCAGGTACAGCCCTGTGGCTTCCTTAGATTTTCCTGGAGTACCTTTAGGCTGGTGAGACAGAACTATTTCACTCCAGACTCTCCATTTTAACAATCAGTTGCTATCTTTATGTGATGCTGATTTTCAGAATGGCAAGTGCTACAGGTGCTGTTTAACAGCACAGAGGAATGCTAACAAAATGGAAAATGTTATGTCAACCTCACAGTGTGACTGTAATTTCTATTATTGACCATAGATGTGTTAAATCATTTACTACTGAACGGGCCTTGGTCATGCCTGAGGCTGCCTACTGCAGAGTAATGCCCAGAACTCAGTTAAGCTCTCTATGAGGAGAGTAAAAAGCCAAACGTTCCTGTATTCCAGATCTCTTTGGAAAAACACGATTTCATAATTAACTAAATTGTTGCTTTTAAACTGATTGGCATTGTTTCTGACAGGAAGATTGAACCATGCTACAGCAGTATTTGTGAGGAGAAAAGAATCCCCTCACTGCTGAGAACAGGGTTGTGGATTGGATTTGTTTTTTTAATGCCTGAACTGCCAAATTCATTACTCTATAAAATTAGTCAAGATCCAAGACTGAGTTTTGGGAGAAACATTGTACAGTGTAATAGCATAATTGTCCCTCTTATCTTTTCGATTAGAATATCCATATATTCCAATTACCTTAATTTACATTCAGAACAAATGCATTTCCTCCTCCATGCCCAAATTCCTCAGCAATGCTGTCTCTCTTGATTACAGAAGTTTTCCAAGGGATGCAATCCTAATGAAAATTGTATTCTAAATCAAATATTCATTTGCAAGCAATTTTACCATTCCAAAACAATCCAGGAATTACATTTAGAATCATTAACTTAATTTAATCCATATGAGCACAATAATTCAGTATTTAGATCTCAAACTATTAAACAGCTTTTGCTGCCACTGTTTTGTACTTCATGGAGTGAGTTTGTGGATGAAGATGAGCCTGGAAAGTTTCCCTGTAAGTGGTGTTAACTACAGAGCAAGGAGAGTTCGGTGGCTCAACTGTGCATCGTAGTGAGGTTCTAACAGCAGCTTATCACATAGCTCATCTTTGAGGAATAAACTGGGAATTGTGAGAAAACACTATGAAGGTGGCCAGGGAGAAAGACATTTCGTTCACGAAGGTTATAAAAATTATCGTGTCCCCTTTGATAATGGTATTGGTTAGTGGAGCAAGAAATCTCAATCAGTACTAATCTTACACATACCTGTTTATCAGGAAGATCGACTGCAGATAATGGAGTGAAGAAGAAATGTCCCAGCAGCTGCTAGAAGTCCTTCAACTGTACAAAGCTGCCATCTGCCTACAGCATGCTTTATTTATTTCTTTTAAAGATGCAATAATCTGGTCAGAGAAAGAACGCTAGATAAGCTTTCCCATGAATCAGTCTGGGAAACTTTAGGGAGCTGGAAAGAATTCTAAACAATCTGCACCTGGTATTTGTAACAAGTTGTTTACTCCCAAGAGGTGTAATCTTCATTAGCCAGTGGTGACAGTGACATTACATAGCACTGAATTCTTGTTTGACTGCAGCTTCTGACTGAACACAGGTCCAACGAGAGCCTGCAGAGAACGACATCCCACCCCTCAGGTATGAGGTACCAGCTCCCTGCTCTGTGTGGGGGCATTTACTGGCCCTGTTGTCCCTTTGCTCCTACAGATTACTGCTGCACAGCCCATGCCTGGGAAGCTCCAGCTTTCAGCTGTAAAAATGCTATTTTTCTGAAGAACAAACTTTCACATGCAAAGTCCAAATACAGTAGACAACAGATTCTTGGAGCTAATTAGCACTGTTAGAAGAAGCTTTTTTTCCTACAATATTGACATCCTTACAATATACATAAACTTCCTCTTTCTTGGATTCTTTCATTAGCATTTCATTTGCTGAAGTAATGTAACTGAAAATGAAGTACCTATTTAGAAAAAATGAAGACTCAAAACACTTCATTGTATTTTCAGTGATAGTTTATTTACTCACTTATAAACATTAAAGTATGCAAAGCAGTCAAAATGCTACTGAAACTTGAAATTCTAAAATTTTCAGATTTTGTTTGAAGGTGAGGGAAGGCTAAAATTATTAGCAAACACTACTCAGTGCTGCCACCCAGCCTCTTAAACCTAAACCTGAGCAATTTAAACAGAATTAAAACCATGCTAATTATAAGAACTTACCATGAGGTTCCTTGCAGGGGGTCACAGTTAGTCTTTGGAGGTCCAACAATATCATTTTAAAGAGTTACTCAGAAGAAGTAGCTGGTAATAGTGCAAGTGCTAAAATGCAAAATTCACAGATGGGACAGTTTGGAGATTATTCTGATTAAGGTGCAGAAAAAAAATGTAAGCAACTTTTTCAGTGGAATATGAACAAATGTGCGGAAATTCTTTCTCAGCCTGGGTGTTTAGAAACCCTCTTTAAACCAAGCACATTAAGGCACAACTGATTTTTTAATTCTGCAGGTGGAAAACTCAGTCATGCAGTTTTGTTTGCTGTTTAGATGCTCTGCTACTCACAAGCCTCAGTGGAATAGAGTAATGAAGACTCACTTGAAAATTACATAGGTTAAAAACTGTGTAAATATCCATATTCAGACTATTCACAGCTACAGCACAGTATAATGGTGTATAGAAAAATACAGATCCAAGCTTCAGTGGGTTGCAACCCCAAGTACACAACACAATTCCTCAAGCTCATACAAGTGGAAATAACCTTCCCCTAGTTTCTGCTCTAATGCCGTGCTCTTTGTTAAGCTGCCGCCTCCTACGTGACACCTCTGTACCCGTCATAACTCAGTTCAAACATTATCAGTCTGTGTATATTTACAGTGCTTTATTAATCTGGAAAGTCTTTCCTGTGACTACTTTTAACAGGAGTTAACAGCATTCTTCTGGGCTGGAAGTGTGGCAGAAGCCCGTTTCCCATGAGTGGGCTGATATAAAAACAAGTTAAAAACATCCATCCCCAAAGGAGATGTGGACAGAAATCCATCATGACAGAAACTGTTTTCCCCAACCCACCTCTGATAAGGAACTTCTATTGCTAAAAGAACAAGTTACGTTCCTTGGCACAGATGAAATCTGGAGGGAGCTGCTTACCAGTCTAGGTGCGGGCACCCCAAGGTGTGGGACCTGGATTTTAGATCTATGTCACTGCACAGTGCAAGGGTACAGTGGCTTAGAGCAGTGTCAGGTATCGATACATGCTGAGCGGTTGCTCCTTTAGAACCTGCTTATCTGAAACAAACTGAGTGACTGCAAAAAGCTTTACAGAAGTTCATTGCAAAAGGGTAAAATTAATTAACTGCTATGAATTCTTTGCATTCAGGGCTGCAAAACAAAGACACATATTACTTAAATCTGTTTTATTTAAGAATTTCCTACAGTGACAAATCTTATAAAAAGCATCCAAACACGAAACTGCAGCAAACAGCATTCTTTTGGATATCTTACAGACAGTGGAACTTCCACCCTGGAGAGGCACACTGAGCTCTAGTGATCTCTGCTGAAAGAGCTACTGCAAAGCACACCACAAGCTCAATGTTCTCATCACAAACCCCCATCGTCTTCAAGTCACATTACCACACTTACAGATCATTAACAGAAAAAAAACACACACCATACAGCATTCACAGCAGTTGACATAAGGGAAAAGAAATACAAATATTCCATTTCACGTAACACATTCAACTAATTGATTAACTAGGTAGAGAACCCACTTAAAGTCTTCCACATGTGGATGTCCTTTGAATGCAATAAACACTCGTACGTTATCTGCTATCATTGCTCTCCGCACACTCTCTCACCAAAGCCACAGGATTGAGAGACATCTCGCCAAGTCAAATAAAATCCTATTAATGCACCACCAGGTCTCTGCATGCGCTCGCTCCTTTATCTCGCACATACCAGCCCTCTCATGCCTCGGCACCACCACCAATCCCACACATGGTTTCAAAAGTTCAAACAGCCTTCTGGTTCCATCTCACAGCCTTGCGTTCACAGCGTTGATACGACTCCATGAAATAAAGAGTAGCGGATAAAAATGGAACACCCACCGTCTAAGACGCAGCATGTGCAGTGTGATGAAGTATTCTTGGATGAGAAAGCATGTAGACAGAAGTATTCCTAAGGCAGAATATTTACAGCACTGCTTTCAATGAAGTGCTTCTTCCATACACATTTGAAATGAGATGAACTGCGGAGATTAAATGAAGCCTTCATATCGTACTTTAGTATGGAGGGGAGACAGTGTTAAAAAAAACAAACAAACACAAACAAATATGACACTGTGTTGTCCAACGGGGCGCTTGGAGAGTCTTATGGTGGGATCAAATTAAAAACAAGAGGGAGAGAATGCTGTTTCTGACCAATGGTTCCATTTTGAACATGCAAAGAATTCAGGTAGCCGGGAAACAAGGGATAAAGTATTACAGGAGAAATCTTTCCTATCGACTGTAGTGTTAGTTCACCTATCAGGCAAACAGCAGTCCACTTCCAAACATTCAGAATTCCAACTAGATATGTAACAAAACTTAGAAAATTCCTTTTACCTTTTTCTTTTTCTTTTTTTTTTTTTTTTTTTTTTAGAAAAGAAAAAATGTCAAAAATACTGCTGAATATACTGCACACTGAACAAATTCATTTGGAAAACTTTAGTATATACGTAATTTACAGTATACTTACCATGAGTTAGAAAAATTTGATTTCCCACCATAGAGTCAGTATCAGAGCCCACTGCGTCTACATTCCCCAGCCTGACGACTTGGAATCCATGCTTGAACCAAAGCCTCCGTTAAACCCACTGCTGGAGCCTGCATTCGAGGCTGAGCCCCAGCCTATTGCTGCCCCTGAGTTGGACCCTCCGTACGAGTTGTTGCCTGAACTAAAACCCTGGTTCTGCTCCCGCTGCATGTTACCCTGAGGCTGGTTGTTTCCCGAGGGCCCTGACTGGTTCTGCTGGCTGGCCAGCATGCCCATCATCCCCCAGCTGCTCTGCAGGGCTGCCTGCGCTGCTGCCATCATGGCAGGGTTGATGCTAAAGGCCCCAAAGTTCATACCCCCACCCATGTTGCTGCCCTGGTTGTTGCCCAGTCCTCCCCCACCTCCTCTGCTGTTACCAAACCCCCCCTGATTCCCAAAGCCTCCAGGATTACCACCAAATCTTCCACCTCTCTCTAACTGTCTACTGCTATTGTGCTTAGGTTCAGCATTGGATATATGTACGCTGATTCCTTTAATGATCAAGTCCTCTCCACAAAGAGACTGGGCAACCTATAAGAAATAAGGGATTGATTAAATGTATGTTAGATGTCTTTTTTTTTTCAAAAATGTTAGCAGTACAAGACAAAACACAAAGCATCCCCTACAATTCTGAGCAGATATTTATCCTGCAAAGAAAGCATATGCATGTACTTAATTCAATTTGAAGTGATTTAGCTTTACATTCATCACTACACTAATCACAGTACAAAGTCTTGTCTGCACAGCTGCATCTAAAAGTGTACTCTCAGTCCATTCAATAAATCAGACAGTGGACAAGTAAGCATTTCATGTGTAGTTCCAGAAACTATACTTTATCATGCTACTAAAATGTAGTCTATGAAGTTAAAATATTTTAAGACTTACCTGATCATCTGCAAACGTAACAAAAGCAAAAGCTCGGAAGGGTTTAGGAATGAAGACATCTACCACTTCCCCATACTGGGCAAAGAACTGTCGGAGTTCATCTGCCGTCATGTCCTCGGTGCAGCGTCCAACAAACACCTTCCTGCTGCGCAAAGGTTCGTCGGGACTTTGCTGGAGAGAATTGAAGGAAAAAGGTATCACAACTACAGTCCTTGAGAACTGAGTTACAGGATGGCAAATGACACTCTTAATCTAGCCTGTTCTGAGGGCTGCTGATGGAAGAAAGTTTGAGATGGCAGATTTAAGACTTAAAAAGAAATAAAATCTTAAAATTCTATTCCAAGAACATGGCTGCACCTTGGTAGAGGTGGGGGGGAAGAGCCTTAAGAAAATGACCATGGGAGCAACACACAGGGATGGTGACAAGGCCACTACAGAAGAACACTTCTTTGTAATAATTGCATAGAGAGACAAGAATAGAAGCTATAGGTTCAGTTTGGAGCTCAAAGACTTGTTCTGCTCTTCCCCAAATTACTGATTCCATCTGCTTTATTCTGCATTTATTCATGCAACAGGCAAGTTAGGCAGGTATTGCTGGACATCAAACACAGATTTCTATCTGTACTTCATTCCCTCACATAATGAGCGATTTTCCCAACATTTCAAATTACTTCCAGTTCACCCACCTGCTGCCTGTTTTCCTCCCTTACTCTCACTTGTTCTTTTCATTCATAGCAAAGCCACATCTGAGAGCGGACAGTTATTCTGTGCAGTTGCTCTCCCCTAACACAGCTGATAAAGAGGTGCACTTGGAGTGTTTGGTACAAATAAAACCAGCAGTAAATCCCAAAGTACCTTAGAGTTGGGAAGTTTACAGTCACACCATCTTCCATCGATCATGTGACGCTGAGACATTACTTTCACTTGGGTTTCGTAATCCGTGAACCGAACAAACCCAAAACCTTTTGAGTGGCCTGTTTTAATATCCTTCTTAACCTAGGTGGAAAAAAAAAAAAAAACAAAACCCAGAAGTAACCACTAGTATGGAGCATGTTGTTTCTGAATGAATTTGGTAAAAATCTGTTTGAGAGCTCATCTGTCTTACAACCATTCTTACATAGCAACTTCTAATTCCTTAACATCTTCTCCCAAAATTAACAGGTGCATGGAAAAAAAAAAGACATCCTTAGAAAGAGACACGGTTTCTGATCTTGTCCAAGTTTATAAAGCTCTTTTGTTTCCACTTGCTTTTTTGGGAGCCTGATATATACCCAGTGTCCCTCCTTACTTGAGCTACAAATGGATTTTACCTGCACCATCAGAACTTCTCCAAAGGTACTGAAATATTCCTTTAAGTCTTGTTCAGTGGTTTTCCAGGGAAGACCCAAGACTATTAAATCTGAAGTCTTCTGTACAGCTCGTTTCACTTTCACAGCCGATGATGCATCGGTTTCATCCATTTTTCTCTTATTATCTGAATATAAAAAGGTACATTAGACATCCTCAGCGCTGGAAATTGACCCACTGACTATGAACTGCATGGTGTTAAATTATAACCCGTGATGAGGAAGAGTACAGACTGTAAGAGACACACATCAGCTGTTCAGGGCTAAATGGAACACATATCTGCCTGTCCTGAACCAAAGCCAGTCCACAATCGAGTCCTCTTCCAAAATACAAACTGACCCAGTTAGTTCTGCATTAGTTTACTGAAGAATTATCCAGCAACATTCACAGTCCTATAAGGTGGGGAAAACATGAACTTTTAACAAGACTACTTCACTAGCAATTTATTTACTTCCTCTCATTTTTGGGGGGTGGAGCAGGGTGGTCAAGTTTCTCCTTTTCTGTGCACTTCTAAGTGGTATCTCTGACCAAACCATGACTTGAGGAAAACTGTGTGTGAGTACAGAGATTACAGAACACTACAGTGCAGTACAGTACACTACAGTACCCTTTGAAGGCTAGCCTTCAAGGATAATGCAAGACTTTGTCTTTAAAGTACTTGTTTAGGTAGAGTGTTAAAAAAATACAAAACTCAATGGGGTCAAACCTACTCGGCAGAACAGACACCTGAATAAACAATTGATCTCTGTGAATCGGAGAGTTAAAGAGTAACACGTTGCTGTGTTAGATCAGCAGTGACTGGGACCTTAAAGAAAGCAGCCCTGAACAGAGAACTGAAGCCACGAGGACAAACCTTTGGGATAATTCACGACGTAGACGAGGTTTCCCCAGCCGGCCTCCGGGGCGTGCAGGATGCCCTCGACCAGCCGGACTCCTCGCATGCACTGCGACACTGGGTTTCTGTAGCGCAGACCGCACGCCCCAGGGAACTGCGCCGTCACCGTGGACAACAGCACCGTGCCGTCGTCCTCCGACGGGATTTCGATGGGCTCATCGTTCTCGTCCTCCGTCACCCGGATATACTCCGACATTTTCGCTGGAAGTTACTAAGTACAAAAGGGAAAGAGCAGGCGTAAGCGATCACCCTATCCCCCCCTGACTTGGCTTTCATCTTCGCCCTGAGGCACGAATCTCTTTATTACACAACACGAGGGCACCGAAACGCGCTATTCATTAACACTAAGGCGTCCGGGCCTGCTGTACACCTCTGCCCGTCCTGGAGTTACGGAGATACCAACAGCGACTTGGTCCCCGAGCACGGCGGAAATTCCCAGGGGCGCCATGAGCTCCCCCCGAGAGGCTGTGAGCACAGCCCCCCTCGGCCTCGCCGCCTGCCCGGCCCGCCCAAGCCCGCGACCTCCGGCCGCGGCTCCACCCGCCCCAGCACCGCGCGCAGCCGAACCGGGCCGGGCCCCACCCGGCCGCACTCACCAGCCAGGGAAGGGAACGACGTCCCGAGAACCCCTCAGCACCACCTCCACTGCACTCTATCCGCCGCCGCACAAAATGGCGGCCGCGGCACCTCAAAGGCCAGGCCGGGCCGCGGGCCGAACTATTCCAGGCGGGTGACGGGGGGGGGCGAACTGCGGCGGGCGCTCGGAACGCCGCAGAGCGTGAAGCCCCGGCCGTGCCCCAGCGGGCGCCGCCCGCTCGCAGCCGGAGCTCGAGCGGCGTTCTCGGAACCGGCGGCGGAGACGGCAGCTCTCAGTGCCGCGCTCCCCCAGGTGCGGGGCCGGTGGTGCGGTCGTGCCCGCGCCTGCGCGAGCGCGGGAGCTGCCGGGAGCCGGCGCCGCGCGGGACCTGTCCGTGAGGGCGGTAACGACACAAGTGCGAATTCGGATTTGGCTCCCGGGACGGCCCCGAGTAGCTCGCCCGGAGCAGCCGCTGGTAAAGACAGCCTTGCCGAAGCTCTGCGACGCCTCTCTCCCGTCTCCGCTACCAGAAAGAACCAGGGCACCTAATTTAAGGGGAAAAAAACCAAAACAAAACCGAAACAAACAAACAAAAACCCGCAAAGTGCCAAAACCCAAACTTGTTCACCTGACGTGTTGAGGGGAGACCTCATCGGAGCCTACAACTTCCTTGTGAGGGCAGCGCAGGGGTAGAGTTCCGATCTCTGCTCTCTGCGGCCACTGACGGGACCTGGGTCAGAGAAAGTTCAGGCAAATATATCAGGAAAAGATTCTTCCCCCAGAGGATGGTCGGGCAGGCTCCCAGGGCAGTGGTCACGGTGCCAAGGCTGCCAGAGCTCGAGGAGTGTTTAAACAAAGCTCTCAGGGACAGGGTGGGATTGCTGGGATGTGCTGTGCAGGAGTTGGAGAGTTTGATGTTATGGGTCCCTTCCCACTCAGAAGATTATGTAATTTCTAGAAAAAAAACCTACGAAAACCAACAAAATAAAACAAGCAAAAAAACCTCAAGCAAACAGAAAACAACCAAAACCCCCTCCCATAACTTAAGAGTAAAACCAAACCAATCACAGTCCGCACAGACTCTTCTAACAAGGCCTAAGTAGTGGTGCAGTGTTTCCAGGGTACAATGAGAGGTCTCCACCCCTGGGGAGAGCTTTCCTGTGAATCATCTCAAGTGTACCCTGGGCTCTTCTAGTTGCACAGGAGGAGATTCCACACTTGCACTTGAAGATCCCTTTTTCACAGAATTGGACAGAAGAGAAAGGAAACATTAGAGATGCAATCAGCTGTTATCAGCATCACCCTGGAAGTGTCGGCGTTGAATGTTATGTATAAGTTGGAAAAGGACACAAGCCCTGTTGCCAACAGAGGCATGTGAGCAATACTGGCTGAGTATAGCTCTTGAACAGCATCATTTTGCACTGAGTAGGAAGAATTGATCCAACATGCCTTCTGCAGATTTTATGCAGGTATTCCCTGAGGAAGAGGTAGATTAACCAGGCTGACTACGGCAGAGTTTCATTATTAGTAAGGACAGATGACTCTACTACTAGAAAAGGTTAATCCAGTACCTTGCATTAATGGCTTCTGCTGAGAGTATTTAAGACTCCCACTTTAGATTTCTTCAAGTGCAAAAATTGGCTCCCAGCACCACTGAAGTTCAGCTCATCCATGCCAGTGAGGAGACTCAGTCTTGCCATTTAATTACCATTTTAACAGAGTTCTGAGAAGACCTGACTAGACAGAGGCTAACAAGAGAAGGTAATGCTCTTGAAATGTGTACCTTTTCTAGTGATTCACAATATACAGCCCAAAGCCAGTTCTGTTGTTGTCAAGTCAGCATGGAGGCAGCCAGTGTCATGAACATGGCATGCTGTGAGGATGGAGTGGTAATTGTGTGTCAGCATTATGTGCTGCACCATTTCCACTCAGAGTTCAGCAATAGCACTGTTGAAGAGGTTGTTGTGGTGCTGAGTCAGAGTGGCCTCCATCTCACACAGCATCTGGTGGTAATTTCACTAATGAGCAGAGTAAGCACCAGCCTTGGACTAGATTTTGTGCAGGTAGAAGCTTGAGAACAGGGAGCTCTGTGCTGAATGTAAAACAGGGAGGGAAAGGACAATTAGCCACGAGTGACTTCTGCCCCCAAAACTTCCTCAGTTTTGGCAACAAACAAGCTTAGAATTAAGCAAAGGTTGAATCGGGATTCTTGCAGCACTTCCGTTCTGTTATTTTGCATTATTATTAGGTTTAAGTTAAGCAATTAACAGTAGTATTGCTCTTGAAGTAAGTACACCAGCGGGCATACCACTAGTTAATTCACCAGTTCCTTCACACTGGCAATTCCAAGGGCCCATAGGTGCAGACAAATACAATATGTGGTACTAGCCATCATTTAAGTGCGCCCAGAGGCACAAAACAAAATGCAATGCAATAACTGTTTGCTGCTCTGGGTTAAGTGTGCTCATGGGTACAAGCAAACTCAGTATAATGATCAACTCTTCACCCTCCCAAAAGAACCTGGAATAAAAAACATTATCAATGGGCACTTAAATATAAGCTCCTTATACAAAAACCCCCATGCAACTATGGGTACATGAAAAACATGAAATGCCTGGGCCTATTCCTAATTACAGAGCAGTAAAAGACAGGACAATTTCATGAATAATGGTGTATTGGTCTAGTCAGATTGATAAGGAGGATGAACAGTTTCTCCATAAATACCTACCAGAATTAGAGCTTTCCATTTACAGGCAAATTATCAACATAAAAATTTTACTCATGCCCATCAGTCTACAACAACTACTAAAGAAAAGTTTCCCTGAAACAAAGTAAGTAGTTTTCACCCACATAAAGTACCTGAAAAGATTTCTTAGTCCATGGTACTCACACTCCTAATTCCCTCAGCTAAAACATCACTTAAGGCTTCATTATAGTGCCTGAAATATTTAAGGCAATTTTTCCATCATCCTATGAAATGATGATTCCAATTATCTCATTTCTAATCCACCTGAGATAGTTTAGTCCTGTTGCATAAAGAGGAAGAGTTTCTGCATTCCTTTTGGTTCATACTAATGTTCATACCATGTTACTTAACTCTTCCAGACTGATTAGAACAGGTGATGTGTTTTTTTTAATCTCTCAGCAAACATATTGACAATCAGATTTTTTATAGGTTTGGCTCTTTTAAAGTTCCAGAAGGGCTCAGTGGCTCAGTCTGGGTCCTTTCAGCCCTAGTAGCTATTGGGTGAGGCTTGTTGGAGTGCATGTCACTGGAACTCCAAGGCTCGCCAGCCAGGTGTGGTGGTGTCCTGGCTGCTACTCAGCAAACCAGCCCCAGCAAACAGAAGGACTGGCCTGGCTGAGAGCTCTGGTAGGAACTAAGAATCTTCTGTAGTTACTGGAAACCCAAATGGTGACCAAAAGGCCTCTCTGAGCTCCAAAGCCATTACTGGCATTGGCCTGACCTTTACAAGCTGCGAAGAGAACAGTGGGGATTATGTGACATCTCCATCCTCCTGTTTGAGTGGTGCCTGTGAGAACTGTCAAACATTTGCAGCTTACACAGGGAATACAAAAATCACTTTACTCTGTTTTGTTTGGCAGAGTTAGATCAAACCATCTTCAAGTCATCTCCCTTGCCTTTCTAGAGCATCCAATAGCAGAGCCTGGGAAGAATTTCTCCCCATGATTCACAGAGGTATCTAGTCAGTTCCTGATGCTGATGTGCCATGCAGCTTCCAAAGGAATTTGATGCCTTTTATGCTGTAGTGGAGCTGGGATCCAGAGCCTGGGATTCAGAGTCTCTTTTTGGCAAGATTCTATAGTAACTCGTAGCAAGGAAGAGCATGAACTTCCATTGGCATCGGTTGGCATAAACCAAAGGATAAAGGCCACAGACTGGGAACTGGTAAAAAAAATTGCATGTGTTGGTGTGTGACAGGTTCTAAATACCAAATACAACATTGGAATTTATAGAGGGGGTTGGAAATAGAATCTTTCAAAAGCCACAGGTGGCTTGGGTAAGGTGTAGCAAGTACTCTGTAACACCTGGAATAGTGTGAAGGACAGCTTTGGCAGGATTTGTTCACAAGCTGTTTTGTCTAGTTTTCCTTCTATGTTTTTTATCTTTTTCTGCTTTTCTCTCAAGGACAGGGCAGACTGGTTTTGAATAATGCTGGTTTTGAATAATGCACATTGAAGCAAGAGCTGAAGGATAAGACAAAGACTGTTTTTAAAAGAGGCTTTACTGCCTCGTGATTTTTTTTTAAATACATTTACTGAAGATTTATGTAAAATCTATTTTTTGTCTACTTAAAATATCTCAAGTGGATGTACAGGTCAAAATTTAATGCATATGGGTTTTCATTATTTTAAATCATTTGCAATATAAATGATTTATGATGACATCAGACCGTTGTTCTTTGGCTGTCCACCATAAATTGAGGTCCACCCAAATTTCCAGCCTTAGCTGTATTTCTGCATTCGCTGCCCCAGTATCTATACTATCAGTTCTGTGATTCTTCATGTAAATGACTTTGAACAACGAAAGGAAGGGAACACATAATTTGCCTTAATACAGGTAATTTTGAAAGAGGAGCAAGACCTTTACATGAGAAATAGTTGACATCCACAGAAAGGGGAGAGCTAATGCTTGTAGAAGTGAAAGTCATCCTTGATGAGGGTGGTGAGAGCTACCGATTAACCAAACGTGACCAAATGGACTTTTCGTGTAGTTGAAACTGCCAGAGGTGATCGACTTCTATCTTTCTCTTTCTGAATTTTTTCATGTCTTCTTTTTGCCCTTAAGTTTATAATGCAATTAATTAATCCAGTTCTTGCCAGTAATGTTGTAGGTAACTGCTTGGAAAACTGTGGTATTAGGATAAGCCAGGCTCCCCAAGGTCATTCTGTAAGCCCACAGTGAAAAACCTTTGTGAAGCCTGACACCCAGAATTGTGCTCTCATGACAAACTTGCTCCTAACAACCATAAAAATTTTGAAACACTCAGACTTTTGGAAGACCTTGTGAAAACTGCATTCATTATCATGTTTGCAAGTTGTCCTATGACAGTTAATGTATACAGACTTTTGGATCCATCAAAACCTATATTTGAAGCCTTCCCAGCTCAGTAGTTACTGAAAATTGCTGCCACCAAGCAGCTCTTCTGTGGCTGCAACTACAAGAATTAAACCCTGAATTCTGCCCAGATTCTCATC